TGGTTTTCATGCAAAAAACACGGGGTCAAGGCAAACGGCTGCGGGCTTCACCATGTGTTGGTGCCACAAACACAGGGTGAAGGCGAAGGCAAACGGCCGACAGCACCGCATGTCACAAAGGTGCGGTACTTGTTGCAAATGGGAGTTTCCGGAAATTAGGGGTACCTTATTTTGGGGTCCTTATAATATGGATCCTAAGATTTAGGGTACTATATTAGGGTCCCCTATTTTCGGAAGCCCCCAAATCCCGGGGAGGGTCAAAGGGTCTCATGCCTGGAGCAAAGGCCACGAAAGGATGGCTAACCTGAGCCTAATCGCAGATGAGTGTTCCACAGCCGCCATGAGGTTTGGTTTATCCTGGTTTGTACTAAAAGATGTCTCTTTGCTGAAGACCCTGAGCCCAAGGCCTAAGCCTTCTCGTGAACGGCTAAGAGTCAAGGTGACGTCATAACCTGGCCCTGGAAGAGCAAAGTGCAAAGGTAGACCCGTGCTCGGCGGACACATTCCCAACAAACTCCGCCTTTGCCTTGCCTCTCCGGCATTTCACTCAATGCATCAACCCCAAGTCCGAAAGTCCGAACCTTATCACCCGGGCCGTAAACCTCGGCCCGTGCCAGGATTCATCCCGCAAGCCTGAGCCTAAGCACTCAGCCGCTCTTCATGCAAGTTCTGATGCTGCCAGAAAGCTTCGCTGGGGTAGTGTCTGGCTTCAGTGCCTGTCGCGGGTTCGAGACATGTGCTTTACTCTGTTTTGATGACACTTCTACTTGTACGCAAGCGGCAAGGTTAACGTGCAACATCCTCACCAAATCAGCCGGAATATCAGATTTGAGGCTCCATACACGGGCGGAGGCTTCTTTTCGTCCAGTGGGCCAAGCGTATCAAGTGTGTAGGGTTGGTTGTAGGGTTGGAGCTTGCATCCAGGATCGCCCATGGCGTCAGCAAAAACAAGACGAAGACGTCCCAGTCTTGTACGGACTAGCTTCGCAACTGGAGCCAGAACGCCATGCCCAAGCCGAAAGACTCCGAATGCAACACGCAGGTAGACAGACTGCAGGGTGCACAGTACGTTGCGACCCCCCACGTCTCTGCCCCGAAACTCCCGAAAGAGCCTGCTGCTTGTAGTCGATGCGGCCCGTTGCTCCCACCTTCTCAGGACAGTAGGAACCTTCGTAGCCTCAGTAGGATCACGCGAAAGTTTTTCGCTGGAGCATGATACCGGCCCTTAGACCTACATTGTTGGGATCTTGGCATAAGAATGTGGCGTGATCATCGCGAACGTGATTGGTGTGGCAGGTCAATCTAATTCACCCCAAAAGCCCCGCAGCTGGATGCAAGGTTCGTTTCACGGTCAATGCGGATGGCTTGTTCAACCCGCTGAGCCAAAGGGACATGTTTGACTTCGCTGACTGTTGCTCGGTTGCTATATAGTCTGCCTTGTAGGCCCAAGAAGCACCCGGCCTGATCAAAAACTTAGCCACAATCCTACACACTACAATGTCCCGTTCTCCAATCGCAGAACAGAGTTCAGCCGCCCCAAACTTCTATGGTCACCTCACAGCCGCGGCACGATCCATGGAGTGGTAGTCAGGACCCCGTGACACTGTGGCCACCGGAGCACCTGAACCCACAAGCCCACGATTTTGCAGGAAAGGAACTGGCCGTTCATTAGTTGGTTGCTCGGCACACCCATTTATCATCATGGAGGTCAATCAGGGTTGTGTTAGGTTGGCTGCCTAACCCCCTGCATTGGGTTTCTTGGCTCCATGTGCCCCGTATTCAATGAAAGTAGAAAGTAGCGAAGTCTGTTTCTCTCCTGCTGTCTCTCTGCATTTCTGACTTGTCCGCTTGGGGGCTTCTCGGTCCGGCCAAAGGAAGATTCCGTGTCAGCAGTCTCCGAGGGGTGGCCTTATAATATATTATCATATATATATATATATATATTGAAATATATTATAATATGATATAATGTAATGTAATACTTTGCTTTTTCTCCCCATCTCTCAATTGTCAACTTGCGCCTTAGAGCCAGCAGGAGACAGAAGCTGCAGCACGCACTCATAGACCCTCGGTGCATTTGCTTCCAATACCAACTGTCCTCTTCAGGTACCGGTGAGCTATGAGTGCCACGGGGTTTTTGAGAGAGACATTGGGAGACACAAGAGTTTTGTTGCGGTTTAGGAGGCGTCTCACCAAGTCCGGTGGATTTGTCTCAGCCTACTCGACGTTCACCTCCGTCTGAGCCTATGAATCTCAGTCCACTCCCGTCAGCAAGCGCCTGATTCCTTGCAGCAGGTGTATTTGAAGCGTGCCCAGAGACCACCCATTGAGTACCTCACGCACAACACAAAACAGGGGGCTTCAGGGTTCACGCAAGATGGGACCTTCTGCCAGTTCTACAGCGATAGCAGTGCCACCTCCACCTCCCTTTACAAAGCATTGCCGCCTCGTTTGATGCCCGTATTTGAGGGACCTGGCTAGGTGTATGGCATCTGCACGCATGGTCCAAATTAGCGATGCAGGATACAGCGAAAAGCGGCCGCAAATGCAGAAGCTTCTGCTGCCACTGCTGCTACACCTGGTCTTCTCCAACCGCAGTGCTGATTGACGCAGGGCGCCGAGTCAGCTGTGCTCATGTGTTCCATCGCAAGCAGTCTTTGACGTCAAGATCGATCAGGGGAGTGGCCTGCCGGGCGGCCTTCCACGCCAATGCGGATGCCGCCACGCAGAGTTTTACGCCCCTTTGTAAAGAAACAAGACCCTCAGTCTCGGTCTAGCGGCTCGAAGTGGAGCCCAGCGAGCAGGTCGTGTCCCGGACAAACGATGGGTAGGCGATGTAGCACGCTTTTCGAGAGGGCCTTGGCGAGGGGAGGCGGGGTGGCCCTATCCCTGCGACTTATTCTGCTGCGTGGCTTCTTCACCTCGACGGCTCTGCGGGAATCATCGGCACAAGCTACACTGTAAAATGCAGCCACCCAGATCCCCGCTTAATCTTTTCGTGACCTTTTTCAAGTCTGCTTTACAAGCCTGTTCCGTGGATTGGCTTTCTTGTGCACACCACACTGGCACACATTCTTGTAGTAGGTACACAGCGGCAGCATACACTTCGAAACCCTGCATTTGCAGTCCCTGGAAGCTTCCTCTCTGTCGGGCTTCCCCTGAAAGCCTTCGAACAAGAGCTCTATGCTTTCCACCTCATCTAATTCGTTCCTAGCTCCTATAGACCCAAGAGCAACGATTACGCTTCTTCGAGCCTTGTCTGGGTATGATGTTGAGTGTTGCCTTCAGCATTCAGAACTACCCTTCAATGACTTCATCCCTCACCGAAACAATAATCTTGGCTTAACCTGGGCATTGAGCTGGGCAGGGTTTGGTCAATGCCTGAGGCTCGTCCTAAACCGCAAGCCTGATTCAAGCCGTGGCCTAATCCATCCTGGCTGCACTGTCCTTGAACTCGCGAGCATCTTGCTGGTCTGTCCAGCTCGGGTAGCACTGCCCTGGGTCGGAGGGCTTTAGGAAGAAAAGCTCCGGGCATCGGGCTGCTAAAGCTGGCACAGGCCTTCAGCTTCCTCATGCCATGATTGCGCATGAATCCAAGTCTTTGCAAGGTGAAGCATCCCTGTGTTTCCGCCATGGGGTGTAAGGGGCAATTCTCCTGGCTCGGAGCCTCACCTAAGTGTTTTTCCGGCAGAACCTGCAGGACTGCATCCTGAAACCTCGAGCGCGGCGAACCGAACTTTTTCCGCTGCCAAGCAATCCCAACCATTGGCTTTCCCTATACAAAGCCGTAGAAAACGAGTAGCCAGTCCAGCCTTCATGCCCGTCAACCCTGGTTTCGATTGCACCTCCCATACCAGTTGGAACTTGATATGCCTGCGCACGAGTCTTGACGTTGCACGCAGAACAGCAAATCATGACCAAATGGGGAAGCCAGATAGCTCCGGACATCGTGCTCTGGCACATCTCGTTGTTGACATGAGGCAGACGAGTCGGTAACGCCAAGGCCAAAAATGAACTGTCAGTTCCCTTTAGCAGAACCGCTGTTCCATCAGCTTCTTCTTTTTCAAAATTTTCGTCCGATGCCGCAAGCCAATGGCTCCCGAATGAGCTTGAACCCGCTTCAAGGCAAAGGCGCCCAAACCAGCAGCGACGGCACAAACGTACTTGAGGCGGAGCTTCTGGTCTGCCTAGGCTGAACAAGTGTGTGGTTCTGAGGGCTTGAGGGTTGCAGCAGAGAAGGTTCTCCCATTGTTCTGTGTTCCATTGGGCGAAAGGCGACTACCCTCACCACGCAAGCCCTGTCTCACTCTGAAATAATTGTGCAAGCGAGGCATTATAGTGTGACAATGCTCAACGTTGGGAATCGTCCTTTCCACTGTCATCCATCTCTTGGGCACCGTAAGGGACTTAATCATTGGGATAGGGTTCTGCTAAGGGTTCATTTCAGGGCGCAACATAGGCATAGGGGCCTTAACTAGTTTGCGACGCTCACTCGAGGACTGTTTGGTGTGGAGGCAGGAGAAACCTGCATGAAAGGGCTTGGGCGGCTTGGGGCTTATGATCCTACAACAGGAAGCTCCGAGGGGCCACCCGCCAGCTCAAAACTTCCAGTCCCTCCCAGATCATCAAAGATCCTTGCGGCAGAGCTTGTACCACTTCAAACCCCACAGCTCCCCAAATCCCCCGCGCTCTTCGACTCCGAGGCACTTTGGAGAAGTCAATCGTCTGCAACACTCTGCCAGGTGGGCACTGCATCTCCTTGATCCCCAGACAGTCGAGTAGGGGCCGTCAGGGGGTTCCGGGTCCGGGGTCTGGAGCCTCACACAGCCTCTGGTGCGGACCTTGGTGGTAGTACAGGGTCCCTGGAACGGTTTAGGGTAGTTTAGGCCGTACGGGCCGTTAAGGGTTTATCGCCTCAAGACATCCCTGCTTTGTGACATGCACAAGGCGCTCGGCTTCTGTTGACCCGTCTTTATCCCAACCCACATCCAAAGGAAGAGCTTGCGCTGTGGCCGTGGCTGGACATGATGAACTGCTAAAGAAAGGTGGACCCTCTGAGCGATGTGGGGTATGCTTCCAATCCGCATCAAGAGCGTCGCTTCGATGCTGCTCCTAAAAAAGTCTGTCGACAAGAATTCAGCCTGCTGAGCTTTTTCTGACTGCGCCGCAGGGATCCACAAGCAGACATCTTCTTGCATCAACAAAGAGAGCGTTGGCGCTTGGGAGGGGTGTGGTCGCAGTGCATCATGCAGGTCCAAATAAGCACAGCTGCGACACAGATTTTAGACGTTACCGTGATCATGTCTATGCCATGCAGAAGACATGGTTCTTACGAGCGATTTGGCTATGTTGAGTGCCTATGCCTGACTTTTCAGGGAACTAATTATGTCGGATATGCAAAGGGGAAGGGTAGGCTTGTCCTACATGGTGTATGTTACATTGCCGGCTGATAAAGCCAGGCATCCCAGGTCTCGATGTCTTCCCACCACTCGGGCCACTTGTCGCCGTCCTTTCTCCCGTGGGCTCCGGGAGTTGATCACAAGTGGCAGCACAAAAAAAGGGTGCGACTGGCCTGAAAGCTTCGTTTCGTTGTGATCTCGATGGGATCCTCCTGCAAGCGGACGCCAGCATCGAGGTTGAGGCTTCCCCACGCTCTGTGGTGAAAGCACTGCCTTTGGAAACCTTTCGCCCCCCCCGCCCCCCCCAACACCACGGCATCGCAACAGGCTACATCCCTTTGCTCATTTCCGGCAGAGCATGCGTGGCCTTGGCAAGAAGCGGCACGAATCGGCAGTCCTTACGTTCGCACCAGGCTCCAGACGCCATGCTCGAAGCGTGATTCGGGGGGAGAGTAAGTGGACCACAGGGTATTGACGAGCGCGGCTAGGACGTCCACAACCGAAATGAACACAGAATTTGCAACACCCCTCCTCTTTGCGCTTCCGACTGACACCTGCAAGCAAACATGTAAAGCTTCGGCGTGTTTCTGCTGCCCGAGAGTCCATCTCAGCACCAATCGAAACGCCGCCCTTGAGAAACATGCCCGGGTTCCTTGCTCACGCAGAATGCGGTTCTTCCCGTTCTGCACAGTAGACTAATTGCTCAAGACGCTTCTAGACTCCACTAGAAGAGAATTGGGCTGCATCTTGCATGCGTTGCTTCAATGAGGTTGCGCAGTGGGACCTAAAATCAATAACTAGTATGTCCGGCTTGCGCACGTCTGCTGCGCCCGTCGTGCGGGTATGCACAGGGTATTGGCATGCCGTGTAGCCACGGTTTATGATCGCAGGCTTTTTGTAACGTTCCTATTTCAGATCTTCAGAGTAGTACTTCAACGACTTGCGTTAGAAATCCGCCCGTCTGCAGCAAGGCTCGCATTACACATCGAATCGTGGAGTCAAGAGGTGCACTGATCGACAAACTCATCGTACTTGCATTCTCGTCCTGCTGCTTATCAACTAGCCGCTAAAGCCCCCTGAACCCCAAACCCTAAACCCCAAGCCCTAAACCCAAAGCCCTAAACCCCTAAACCCATAACCCTGAACCCTGTAACTAGCCCAGCTCGTGGGTTTGACATCTCCGACTCTTTCAGCCGTGCGACACAGATCCCAGTGCGGTGTTTGCAGTACAGCCCTTGGCCATGGAGCTCTGAGTCCACTCAGTGGCATCCTTGAGCAGAAGGCTTTGAAGGCTCTTTGTAGACATTTAAGTCCATTCGTAGAGCCTTCCTGGAGATCTAGGGGGCTTGTAGCTTCGTCGGCCGGGGTTAAGATCGAATGCCTCCCAGTAACTTGATTTCTGTCGTGCTTGGCTTGGGTGTTTACCTAGCATTCCAAAAAAAAGGCTCAGCACAGAGTCCTGTGGCACTTGGAGCTCGCACGTCGGGTTTGGACAAACGCTACTCGGCCCTTGCGTCACTCCGTCTGTTTGGATTTGCTGTCTCGTATAGCACGACATGGCACATGTCCTGAAGTGGCTCAAGGGTTGCATGAGGCTGAAGGGTTTTCAGGCTTCTCCGGCTTAGGCGTTGCCTGTTCTTGATGATCGCAAAGATGTGGCAACCGCTCTGAAAACACACAACAGCTTAAGCAGGCATGCCTACCAATGAACGAATGCCTTCCCACGTGCCTGATGCGCCGCAGTTGACTCATGGCAGAGGGATGAACACGAATGTGATCTTCGTAGTTTCAGTCAGCATTTAACCAAGTTGAACCCACGAAAAGCCTCTGTCCCGTGTAAAACCTGCGTCTCTGCGCGCTCTAATGCTCGCAAGGCACTTGCTTGTTGGCATAGGCTGTCCTGAGATGAAGACTGCAGTCTGCTTTTTGATTCTGTTGGGCTACAGCTAGCGGCTCTGGGCGGGGGGGCCGCTCGGGTTCCTTCAGAGCGGGGCATCAAGGAAGCTCAATGACCTTCTCAGCTTTCTGGATCCGTTGTCTACTAGGTCTTCTGCTTCAAAACTGCGAATCTTGAAGACTGCTGCTGCAACGAGCCTAGAAGGAATGTCAAGCTTTCATGGGCACCGACTGCCATGACATCCACGTCACGGCGCCTCTCCTGCTGGAGCTCTTCTACACCGGAACCGCGCCCGTGCTCTCACACTTTCAGGCGACAACACAATCGATTTTGCGCTGGTTGGAAGTCGATAACGGCGATAACGCTTGCCAGTTCCGGTGTCGCCTCTCCCGGAGGCTCACAGCCCTGTGCCCGCTGCAAGACAAGGCCGATGCCAAGGGACGGCAAACAGGGAGGCAAATAGAGAGAAGAGAAAGAGAGAGAGAGAGAGAGAGCGAGAGGCAGAGAGCGAGAGAACAAGAGGCAACGAGCTATACGGAAGTATGGCACCGGTGGGCTCAAATCATCCCGAAGGCGTTAGCCTCCACATGGTAAGGAGATTTAGAAGCTGCAAAAAGCCAGAAGCTGACACGTACGAGCGTAGCTGAACTCCAAGGACCAGCGGCTCTGGGATGATCATCCACCTGAGTCTGGGAACTCGTCCGGGCAAGGCTCAGCCCACGGAATTTGAAAGATGCACTCTCTCAAACCTTAAACGCATGCCCCGATAAACCCAGCATCTGCTTCATGACAGGACTTACCCGAGGTTTTGCATGGCCGGCTGGAGTCCAGGTAGGTATGGCATGCCTAGCACACCTGAAGCTCTTTCTGCAAGCTCCACACGGACTGCAAACGGTTTCCCCACCAAGGATCCTAGAAGCATGATAACAAGCACGATAAAACACTGACGGTATTGCTTCACTGCCATCGGAACTGAACGACCTTTGCAAACTACCTGACAAAGGTGTCGCTCTCATGCCGCCTGCTGTAACGTAGTCAAGACCTCCTTCAGGCTGTCAATTCCAACGATTCAGGGGCAGTCCATATGTGACAACTGTGCAGGAACCAACAAATTGCGGGTCATGTGGCATCATGTCGTCATTTTCTGCAAGCAAACGCATCACTCTGCTGAGCCCAATCTCAATGCCCGGGCTGAAACTCGAAAGCTTGTGTAACGTTAGATTCAGATCCTGGATGCTGGGTGCTGCCCGGCGTGCGCCATTCGAACCTCGCTGTGGCCTGGCAACATGTACTTTCTCTTCCTGCACAAATACTGGGAGCGGTCTATGATCCTAGGACTTTAGCTTGGCCAAGAGTCTCTCGATTCCTTTCACATGCTTCTGCTTGTCTCAGCCTTTAGCGTGGTGAACGCCATTCGGAAGGAAGCATGACGATGACGTAGTTCAGGGCATTTGAAACCCTTCTGCGATGTACAGACATTTCAACTTATCAAGGATCCTTTGATGTCGCCCAGCTGTACCCTCCTTGTCCTTCTTTAGCTTTGGCCTCTGCTTGCCCGGCCCTGCCTGAGACGTGGCCTCGAAGAACTCGACCTCCGCAATTCCCGGTGCGGGTTCACAGCTCAAGAAGCTCACAAAAGTCGTGTTTGGGGAGGTCGAGGTGCAGGAAAAAGCTCAGGGCTTAGCTGCTCAGCTTACCTTCGCACAGGTGAAGATAAAGCGGCTCGCGCGAAACACAACATCGGATGGGAGCTTTACGAAAGTCAAGCCGATTCCAAACCTCGTGGACCCCGTCGGAAACGCCGGGGAAGTATCTACGAGCGCCCAGCAAACGCCGGCCAAAATCGAGCAAAGCTGTCCCCGGCGACCCTGCAAGGCTCCGGAGACACCAAAATCTCCGAACAGCACCTGAAGTGTCTTTAGCTTATCGCCTGCATTTCTTCCACCCATCCACACTTTTAGCTTTGCCGCGAACTCCAGCAGTACCGCCACCTTCGGAGCCCGTCGTAGCCGCTCTTTTCCGACTCTGGCACTCTGTCTGAGGGCTGAGGGAAGAGGAAGATGACCGGTAACGCCGGTAACGCAAGGAGACGTGCGCACTAGCCCAACCAACACTTCCGAATCGCTTAAAGTAGCGGGGAAGGGTGCGGGGAAGGAGGGGAGAGGGAGGGGCCTTCCTTTCCTAGCAGCCTTTTGCTGCTCGAGCAACATCACCTGGCCTCGAAGGGATAGTTTCCTCGCTCCAAGTCCTGGTGGACATCTGCAAAGCTGCTATTATCTTGTTCGGGACTTCTGGTTCAATGGTCTTTGGGGCTTGAAGGGTTCAGGGCAGCTCGCTGGCGTTCTTCTGCCCTTTGGATCGCGTGCAGTTTCCTGCATCGTCTGTGTTCGATTAAAGCTTGGGCATACTTGATCCAGGTGGTGCAAATGCGTGCAACTCTTTCCGAAAACACATTGCAGCGGGCGCTTGCATGGGCCACCTTTACAGATCTGCTGCTTCATTGTCCAGGCGAAACGCGTATTCCACTGAGGCGAAGCTGTCAGAGCGCTGAGCCTAGTGGGTCTGAAAGGGTACTGATGCAGAAACTTCGCGAAGCTGGTGTGCGCTTCGAGGCCTCATACTTTGCCACCCTTCCCATGGGGTGCTGTCATCGCATTGAACTTGTCACAGACAACGACTCTCTTTCGAAACCCGATCACCCGCATCAAACCTCGAGATGACCGTTGCTAAAGCATCTAAATCTTAACCCACCCCGGGCCCGAAATCCTTCGATTCAGCCCCGAAGCCTCTAAGCACTATCGAAATCTGTGGAACCCTCGGAGCCCAAAACGAAACGCCTCCCTTCGTTAGCGCGTGCATGGCTCCATCCAGTCGGACTCCGCTTCGCGGGTACTACCGCAGCCCGACAGATGGATGATCTTGGCAAGTGCTTGGGTTGCAGCTTTGGGCACAGAGCTCACGGGACTCTGGTTCTTCGATTCATGGGTTGAAGGTTTCCGGAGAGGAAGGTCTTTTAAAGGCCCAGAACTATATGTTAAAGCTGAAGCATGAGGTGCTCGTCACACCATGCAGATTCCTGCATCACCTGTGCGATGAAGGCTTGGTTTTGTAACAATGCTTTGGTACCTCAATGCTACGCATGACCAAGGCCAGCAAGGAACACGAAGTCCCCGCCCTCTCATCCGAAGTCCCCCACCGACTGAACCTGAAGACCTCTTCGCCAAACCCCACGGCACCTCAAAAGTCGAATTTGCAGTCGTGACATCATCTTTCTGTCATCCTTTCCTCAGCTCAAGATACAAAAAACGAAGTCGGCCTGGTTCCCGTTGAAGAACACCTTGGCACTGTCGTCGGCCCAAAATCGCAACTTGTGCTTTCCTTGGAGGCTTGGCCCACGTGCGAAATGCTTGGGGGCATCAGAAAGACTCCATGATGCTGTACGGTAGACGGGGAGGTCTGAGAATACTGTCATGATTGCTGGTAGTTCATACCAGTAGTCCTCCTGTCGTGGCTATCATCACCACACGTTCGGCCAAAGCCCAACTTGTACCACGCGGCTTAAGCCCGAAATTCGATTGGGAACCCCTTGAACTGAAGGCCGCACAAGAGGAAATACATGCTGATTGTTGCTTCAGGTTTTTGATGATGCGATGCACCACTTCCAGCTTCGTGAAGAGATCATAGATTCAAGCACTCTCACCACCCCCATCTCAACCCTCGACAAACTTTCAAGCAACGTCTCCCTCAACTGGACACTCTCACTATTGCCAGCTGACCTGCCGTGTCGATCATCAGGAAACCCGAGAACCTGGAGTTCAAGGTTTGGGTTCCTGGGGATAACGGCCCGAATGCTACACGGCTCCAAGATGAGCATGGTTCCTGTGCGAATGGACGGCTGAGCAGGATACAACTCGCAAACGAAGACATGTTTCAGAATCATTTATATGCCGTCAATCCACCCCACTCTTCGTATGCTGTAGGATTCCTACAGAGGTTGAACATTTGCATGTTCGATGCCCGCTCTTTCCGCATGTGCCCGATGGCGGTCCTGGCGGCAAAGTTGTCGCCGAGATCGGCAGTTGTTTTCCAGAAGTCCAACCTTACGTCATGGCTTGTTTCGTAGACTTCCCAAGGGGTAAGAGCATGGAGAACAGAATGAAGACTGCTAGACGCTACAAGGAAGCTCCATGTTGAGCTTCTGAAGCTGTCCCCGAGACGCAGGGATCTCCCGGGTCTTGGGGAATTAAGCCCAGTTGTCCAACACCCGAAGTCCAAAGCTGTGCAGGTGCAAATCCCGTCGGCAGACTTCTGCTTGGGTCCATTCCTTGCGATCCAAGCAACTTGGGAATCGTCTCGACCTGCGTGGCAAGCGCTTAAGAGGTTCAGAGTTCAGGGTCTTGGGGAGAGCACGCCGTTTAAGCCTCTAAGCTCTTGGGGCTTCGGGGGGGGGGGACGGGGCTCCGTTGTTCAAAGACTCAATGACCCAATGGGGCAGCGTGGACTCTTGCAAAATCAGTCGGAGGCGCGGAGGCAAAGGGGCAAAAAGCCACGAGGCCTAGTAGGCCTAGGCCAGGTGGCAAAGAGACAACGTAGGCAAAGATAAGCAAATATTTTCTGTGTGAAGTACGTGCAAACGAAAGCTGCCTGCCCAGGGTTGCAGCTGGCATGTGCTCTCTTAGCATTGTGAACTTGTGTTGATCTTGCAACATCCCACGCCTTTCACGCGCATGGGCAGTCTGCAGCAGACCAGATTGTCCAAATTCGAGCCCGCAAGGTGCAGGTTTTGTGCTCTCAGCGTCTTTGACTCCTTTGCCCCGGATCTGCCCAAAGGCCTTGCTTGGTGCCTACAGCCGCTTGCAGAAGCGTGCCCCTCTCTGGACTCCCAAAATCTCTGTGGCCAAAATCTCGAAACAACGCTTGGCCGTGACAGGCACTCGACGGCGTGTTTTGGGGGGTCAGAAACGGAGCCGAAAGCGACCCAGACCCTAATCCCAAGGCCTCCCAAGGCCTGTAACATGTATCACGGCTAATCCTCGAGAAACTCCCCAAAGACTCCGATCCCTGATCCCTGAAAATTTCAGCCTCACAGCCACAGTGACATGATGTGTCTGTCTGCACCGCGCCTTGTTGGGTTGCAGGTACTTCACATCCGGAAACTTGCAGTTATTATCCTGGTCGAAGCACATCTGCTCGGAGTGGGCACTTCTGGGGGCATACAGCGGTACCAATGTACAATTGCAACATCTCACTCAACACGCCGCGAGTGTCTTCACCTCAGTAGACGTACTAATAAGTTTGTAGTCTGCCCATGGAGCAGGCTTGGCATTGCTGTTGCTACGAGTAGACAACGTAGCTCTGTCTTTAACGGAATATCACGCTTGAAATGTTCGAGAAGCTTCTTTGCGAGCATACTAGATAAGGCGAAGGGTTCTCCCAGGGCATGGCATTTTCACCGGAAGTTTGCTGAGTGCAGCTCATGAAAACAACAATCTGGTAGTGGCAATATTCAATGAGCTGACTTGCCACTCAAAGCAGTGGTCTCTAGGAACTTCTAGCCTAAGCAGGTCCTCTTCGGCACACGATCCATCACTTACTTACGGACCCTTGAAACAGGACCCCCTTTATTTTCGGAAGCCCGATCTGTTGCTTGTTCTGGTCACGAGCAAAACCTCACACGATGACCGTTTCACTGCACCCTTGCCCTGCACTGCCCTCAATCGCAAAAAAACTTGGCCCGAAGCCACTGAGCCTTCGCTTCAATGGACATGTGCCTGAAGTATTCTGCCTTGCAGGGCGTCAGTTTGAGAGTCCTTCGAAGGCTTTTGTAAAGGGGTGCTTCTTGGGTCCTTATCCGGCCGCCAGTGCATCTCTAGTGGAGGATGCTCTTCAACAGCGCTCGTTCAAGAGAGCCGACAGGCTGCTTACAAAATGAAAAAGAGCTTCAGCCCTTACAAACTCCCGCTGCGCAATCCAACTGCAGGGAGTTCTTCTCTCGTGTTTTATCTACTCCGAAAGGTTCTCCGTTCCGATTCAGTTACCTCCAGAGACTTGACATGGCATACCGGCATACCCAGAGGTTGAGACTCCCGGATCCTTGAAGGATGGGAGCTCGTCTCAGACGTCAGGAAACGTTGGTGGTTGCTCTTTGTCCGATCCACGGGAAATTTGTGATGCCCTGAACCCCAAATTGGCTCTCTCGGGCGCCTACGGGAAATTTGTGATCCCCTGAACCCCAAACCCAGTTAGAGGTATACAACCTTGGCTCTCTCCGGCCCGGCCCGCGCCTTGAGGCCCGGTTGCAATGCCTCGCCGTTGAGGTGGGCGTTGCGGAGAATGGTGGTGAACATATAGCCTTGAAGGGCATGGGCTGTTTCCGATTTCGTTTGGGACTCTGGGGATCGCCGGAGATGTAAAGATGGAACTACTATTACGGGGCTTCTATTTCTATATGATGAATATAACTCAGCTGTTACTTAGTGGGGGCAGCAAACTACGGTGCTTTAGCGACCCTTTTGCGCAGGCTTGTTCATACCCTCCTGGGATCTCAGAGTCGCCGCACTCGTGGCAGAAACCCTAAGCGCTTGAAACATCTGAGCTCAAACCTGAAAACCCGAAAAGACGTGGGTAGTTCTCGAAATTAGGGTCCCTTTTAGGGTCCTTTTTATAAGGGTGCCGTACCATTATTGGGGACCCAACAAGGGGACCCTAAGTTAGAAAACTACCCACGTGGTTTGGCGGAAAGGGTTCGCCAGACCTTTTTGGCCCCTCCCCTTCGTTCGGTCGACTGTTCGAGCGCCTTTGGAGCTCTCCGCAGGACTTCGAAAAACGCCGGCACAATCAGAACGACGATAAGAATCATAACAATAACAGCAATAATAACAATGCCAGTAAATAACATTAACAATACTGTTATCATTGTTGTTATTATGAATATTAATAGCATGCATAGCATCTGACAATGTTTTGCCAGTTCTCTCTCAGCGTGCCATCACTAGGTCCAGAGTTTTGGCAGTTGGGGAGGCGGGTTTTGTTGCCAAGCAGGCAACAAGCAAAGACCAATTCAGGCAAAGGAAGCTAAATCCAACATCACCGGGACGAAGCTGATCAGTATGAACGTCTCTAGGAAGTGGGCGAAGAAATTAACCAAGTCTTCCGTGGGATGCATGGAAACTGCAAGATTGTGTGGGCCCAAAGTCCGAACACCCTTGCGGGGCGCTGTCAGGAGCTCCTGCAGTGGACTGTGCTTGACACTCCCCATGCTAAGCATCTCCTGAAGCCAGGAAACAGTTTGAACGCAGATGCAGACCCAAGTTTTCGAGCACAGAGCCAAGACAGCCAAGATGCCCATATATGACGCCGGCATCATCTGATGGACGTTTTTGGGCTGACACTGGTCGTACACAACCGTCATGTGATCCTGCGAGCCCTGAAGCTAAAATCTCACGCCCCACACTGGACTCTTTTTCATAACAGGGGCCGGGGTTGCAGTTTGAGCGCCGAATTGCGTAAGCCCCACAAAAAGCCCCCAGGCTGCAGCTGCAAAGTGCTCAAGGCAACCACAAACGCAAAGGCTCACGGCCCTGCCCACTTTCTGGAGTCTTAGGTGTGCAAGGCAGCTGAAACGGGACCGGGCTCCGGATCTTGGAGCTGGTGAGGCATGAGGCAATCGTTCCGCCCGCTAATGCGAAGATGCCTTCAGGGGCCGTGGGTTTCAGCTTCTGGAGGCTGAAAGCATCTGTTCACGGAGCTGTTGCTGTGACCCCTCAAAGCCTCAAAGGGCTTCGGGCTTGTGACTTTGCAAGCACCTTAAGGTTTTGCTGAGGTCGTTGACTCACTGCTCTGCCAGCCGACGGGATGGACTGGCTGGACGCTAAGCGATGGAATAGCTACACTGTGCCTTGGATTGTAGTGGCGATCCCCAGAAGAAGGGTCCTAGCCCCGGCAAGATCCCAGACCCCTTGCGTGCCTGTTGGAAGGATCAGATTCGCTCCAAGACTCACTGGTGTAGGTCGTCCTTGCACATGGCTCAGCCGTCTGTTGCAGGAGTACGTCAGCTTTAGACCACTCTTCTTGCAGGGTTTTGTGAATTCAGAAGAGGAGCCTGTTCAACATCAGAGAAGGGAAACGCTCGAGAAGCATTGCTGGGGCCCGCTTCTCTTAACCTTGAGTATCCACTTCCGGCCACGCGTGCTTCACAAAAAACCAACACTTAATCAGCTAATCCTGTACAGAACGAACCCAAGAATGTTGAAGTCGAGACGCTGCAGCCGCTGGATTCCTTTCTGAAAAGCCTTGCGCCCGAAAATGGCAGCCCCTCTCATTCCAGAAACGTGGACAATTTTACTTGGAGGCAGGAATGCTTTTGGGTCATCTTTGGACTCTTGGACCCCGCTACCTCGACTCCAGATGAGGCAAATCACAAAGAGTAGTCTTAGCGGGTGGAAGGGCCTCGTTTACAGCAGGAACCCGCACTGAAAGCCATAAACCCTCATCTAAAGCTGTCCCAGTTTCGGACACTTTGCACTGTCCACCAACTGCACCTCGTTGTCCTGCAGGACTTGATTGCTTGCCTGTGAATAGAGGAATGTAAAAACAAAACACTAAATCCCTGCATTCTGGCTACGGGACTATAATATGCTTTAAGAACCCTTCCCACATCAGCCAGGGTTTCCAAAGAAAGATCCTTCCGGTCGGGGAGCCCTTGACAACGATAGGTTGGGATTCGGATATTAGGCGTAAGGAGGCGCTAGGGAAGGGAGTTGACTCGCAGTTCATGTTGTCTTGCAAAGGGAAGTGGCTACCCTCCGCATGTTGCCTTCAAAGGGCTTGGGAGTGCAGCCTGCGCAGGATTGGATGCTTGGCCTAGGAACCAAAGCGGCTCAGCTGCTGACTACTCTTCTTAACCTGCGAATTCCTTTCCGACCCGGAAATGCTTATATTTCTTGTTGGGCTGCCTTTCTGCGCTGCGTTGACGGAGCCCAAGCTGTTCAGGCTCTTTCGCAGTCCGGCTCTGGGAACGAGTGATTTTTAAATGCCAGCGCAAAGCAACCCTAAACCCTTGGGCGTCCAGCTTCTGGTTGCACACCAACAGCGCAACGCGGACGCACGGCGCCTTGCCCTTGAACTTGAAGTTGTTAAGAGTCCTGGGCAACCGAGGCAATTTTGAGATGATCGGAGGGCTTGTAAGGGCTTAGTAAGCATTTTAGAAGCAGCCAGAACACCTCACGAAGCGTTAACAGGCAAGCCTGCTGCAAAATGCAGGCCCAGAGACAAGGATTTGACCGTGACGGGGTTCTCAAAGTAAACCCGCACCTCAGTCGGCTACGAATCTCGCATATGTGCTTGTGATTCCTCCGAAGGAGAGATATATGCTTGCGCGTGCTATGAGCCATCCACTGGCGGTCCAAGCGAAAAACGTGAAGAGCGGTGGTTTGGAGGCTCCTGATGCTTGCCGATACGGCTGCTTGCGGTCTTTTTTCTTCTTCTCAAGCCTCGCTATTTTCCACAAGCCATGCGAAAACGTGTCAACAAAAACAATATGTACTGTAGACAAATCAAAGGGCAGCTTCGTCTTCCGTCCCATCAGAAAGTCCAGTCAGCGGCCTCCATTCTTGGCGTGGGGTTCCTGAGCGGTGGGAGTCTAAGATTTTTGATTTGGAGGTGGAGCTGACGGCGCAGTGACTTAGAATGCACCAGCCTGTAGCTCTTATCTTTCAACATCTCGCTGCTGCGACAGAGACATCTGTCATCTTGGGCGTGAAGCTATAATTCGTCTTTTCAATGCAAAGTCTGTTGCGCTGATCATGGGGCAGTACTGAGCCAAGCATGAATAGTGTCTTCTGCCTTGCCTTAAAAACGGAGGAAAGAAGCTCAGACATGCCTCAAGCTCCAACGGACTCAAGTCGACGCGCATAAGCAAGTCGTCATAAAACCGTCATGAATATTGCATGAACCGGTGTCTGCTCCAAGGTAACCGGTACCCATACTGGAAGGAATAAACCTGAGCAGCGGCGATTATCTGCAGCTTTTAGGCTGCGGGGATCTGTGACAAGCCACGAAGCCTAAAGGACTCTGGTCCTCCTCAAGACTGGGAACGGCATGTGACTAGTCTTTGTTATCTTTTTGCGACTCCCTAAAGAAATCCCAAGAGTTGTCGGAAAAGGAGCAGTGCCGGGACCATTCTTGGCTATTCCGACACCATTTTGGAGGATGACGCCGACGATTGTCGTATCCTCCTGCCAGGCACTGCAGGTTTAAAATCTCCCAGCGTCGGAGGCGACACAGTTGGTGAGACGGAAACGCTCACAGGGTCCTACTCGCACGACTCCATCACTGCATGCTAGTCCAGAGACCATAGATCGACAGCCATACACAGGGTGCACGCCCGCCACAAGCTACCCTCGGGGTCCGCTACAACGCAAACACGCATATTGTGATCCAGTCATCGTCCTAGGGACCACAATCCCAGCCCCGCGAGCTCTATCTCACCAACATCGATGAAGCGGCCTCTCCTGTCTCCCTGGCCGGAACCATTGAATCCTAGGAATGGAACCTGCCTTGAAGTTGAATATCAACTTCGGAGTTGAGCCCCTCAGTCGATGAGCCATCAAGCAGTCCGCACAGAATTTTATTTGACAATATCGACAAGAAGTAATTACTTGCATGAAGGTCTCAAAAAACTCTATGCACGGAGTGTTGTAAGTACGTAACTTCATGCACAACAGAGCTAGCATTCATGACAAACGCGGTTGCTTGGTTACAGCATGTACGGATGTGAAACAAACTGCGGGGTGCGAGATTGCTAATCAGTGAGGCAGACTGTGATAGCCCCTTAAACTCTGCCGACTGCGTTTGAACACCTAACTTGAACATTGACAGCCGCCCAACAGGCCCTGCAGCACTCCCGCAAACAAGTCCCAGGCCATCTTGCGCAGGAGCTAAGGAACCCCCCCCCCCTCTGAGATGTAACCTGGGCGTGTATCCCCTCGCTAGGCGTACAGGAACACAGGCTCACAGGAGCCTCTTTTTGCTACAGGCGCACAGCTGTAGATCGTACTCTGCTAGAACCTTGAGCAACAGGCATGGGTACATGCAAGTGATACGTGAAACAGA